TAGGATTTTAGGGTTTAGGGTTTAGGGTTTTCGGGTTTAGGGTTTAGGGTTTCGGGTTTAGGCGGCTCAAATCCTTGATGGCAGAGGTGTTCCAGTTTGTTCAGCGTCTTGTTGAAGGTCCGAGGATTCGCGAACTGTTACGAGCCGCTACGACCGACGCTAGCTCAGGCGGTTTAGGCCTAGGGTTTGCTTCTTGAAACCCTAAACCCTAAACCCTAAACCCTAAACCCTAAACCCTAAACCCTAGGGTTGGACTTACGCCGCCCTGTTTGCTGGCAGATGATGCGTCCGGGGTTTACTAAGCACCCAGATGTCCACGTACCATAGAGACACGTCCGTGTTTCTTTAGGGTATGCGAACCGTGCCCAGCAAGAAAAAGGCAGACGATCAAGGACTGGCCAGACTGAAAAAAAAAACCGAGGGTGTTGGGTTTAGCGTTTAAGGGGCTGTGTGTTCCGGATTCGCCCTAAGCCATAAACTTAAACCCTCAAGCCGAAGCCCACTAGAGCCAGAACCACATCCCACGCACAGCTTCACCCTCAACCCTAAACCCTAAACCCTCTGTCAAGCTTGCTTGTCGTTACCATATGAACCTTTGTAGGTGAGTCGGCAACCTTCAACCGGTTGGGCGCAACAATGCTACCGAAACCTAAGGGTTCAGCCTTTTTCGTCCAGAAACTTAGCAACTCTAAGCCCCCCCGAACAAAAAAAAACAAAACAAATAAACTAAACCCTAAAGCCCCAAAAACCGTACAACCCTCTGCATCCCAAATCCTAAAACCTGAGCCAGCCCCGATAGTTCTCTACAGACCCTGGCCTGTGGAGCCCAAACAGACGAGGCTGAAGACAGCGGAGTCTTTCCTGTTCGATGCTGGGCCTCTCCGCTCAGAGTTTATGCCCTAAACCCTAAACCCTAAAGTTTAGAGCTTCGCTTTCGACTCTCAAAAGTTGGTTGAGAAGTTGAGAAGCTGAGAGCTTGCTGCACAATCCCCAAATTGAATCTCTCGGTCTCTAGGAGCACTCGAAGACCTCCCTAAACCCTCAAGGCCCTCAGCAAGCCTTGGGGTCCTCACCATCCAGCCCTAAGCGGCCTAGCCCCTCTCTTTAAAGCCCTCTAGAAGCACTCGACGCCACCTCAGAGCCCCTTAGTCCCCAAACCTGCACCCCAAGACTCTCTTCAGTGCCCTATAGACCCATCCTGCAGTTCGCCCCCCCTTACATCTCAAACTCCCTAAGCCCACCTTATAGTTAGCCCCCTTTACACCTTCAAGGTGCACCTTCATCTGCACCCCAAAACTCCCTTTAAGGGTTTAGGGTTTAGGGTTTGGGGTTTGGGGTTTGGGGCTTAGGGTTTGGGGTTTAGGGTTTAGGGTTTTAGGGTTAAGGGTTTAGGGGTATATAGGGTATCTCACTCCCTCCTCCCCTACTAAGAACCTGTGGAGGTACACCTTCATCCTGGCCATCAATAGCCTCCTTAACCAAGGCCCGACAGGAAGATGTGTGGATACTGCGACTTGGGCGCCCCTCGCCCTCCATCTCCCGCACATCCGAAGTTGTCCTTAACCCTAAACCCTAAACCCTAAACCCTAAACCCTCAACCCTGAACCCTGAACCCTAAACCCTAAACCCTAAACCCTAAACCCTACACCCTAAACCCTAAACCCTAAACCCTAGCGGTGTGGGGGTGCGGGGGCTTGAGTGAGGGTTGAGGGTTTGAGGGCTTTCTTTCGGCCCCCTAAGCCCTCAACTTCAGCCCCTGAGTTATGAAGCCTCGCTCAAGGCCTTTATAGCGTTTAGGGTTTGGGGTTCAGGGTTCAGGGTTTAGGTTTAATGTGGTATCCTGATTAGTGTGGGGGGGCCCCCCCCCCCCCCCAAACTAAATCCACCCCGCAATAGTGTCACCAAAAAAAAGGGACCCCCCCAAACTAATTTTCGGCCCCGGGCCCCCCCCACCGGCTCCTCTTCATTTCCTCTTCGCTCCTCTTCCTCTCCCTCTCCTCTTCGGTAATTAAGCTCAGGTAAGCTCAGATGAGCTCAGCTCAGGTAAGCTCCGACTTGAAGCTGCTCTTCTTTTGCTCTTTTCTTTCATCATCTTGTTCTCTTTTTTTGTTTCTTCCGAAACCCATGCCCGAAAAACTTTACTTTATTGTGGGGGGCAATCGAATTTTTGTCTCCTGAATACTTTTTGGAAAACTTTTCATTAGTGGAGGGGTCCAGACTAATCAGGATACGACATTAGGGTTCAGGGCTCAGGGTTTATATATTAGGGTTTAGGGTTTAGGGTTTAGGGTACCCATTTTCCCCTTATTTGGTTTAAAGTTCCCTTTTCAATTAACAACCCAGAAAAGGGTTCCCTTATTGTAATGTGGTTCCCGCGCTTCCGGACCCTAAACCCTAAAGCCCAAACCCTAAGCCCCAAAAAACTGGGCTACCATGCTCAAGCAGTGCTATCACTGTACCCAAACCCTAGCCCTAAACCCTAAACCCTAACCCTAAACCCTAAACCCTAAACCCTAAACTTGCCTAAACCCTAAACCCTAAACCCTCACTGTGGGCAGGCCACAGCCTGAGCGACATTAAAGGCGAGCTCTTGCTGAATCAGGCTCGGGCCTGGGGTTTAGGGTTTAGGGCTTAGGCCCAGGGCTTAGGGTTTAGAGGTTTAGGGTTTAGGGTTTAGGGCTTAGGGTTTAGGGTTTAGGGTTTAGGGTTTAGGGTTTAGGGTTTAGGGTTTAGGGTTTAGGGTTTAGGGTTTAGGGTGAAGGTTTAGGGGTAGGGTTTAGGGCTACGCAAAAACCCTAGACGCCATTAACCCTAGTGAACCATTCAAGAGCCTAAGACCTTGCAAGCGAGCACCGGGGCCCTGAATCAATGGCCCGACGCTTTACACCCCTGCAGCTGACTTCAAGCAAGGGTTGAGTGTTGAGGGGTTCAGGGGTTGCAGCTTCAGGGTTTCGGGCCCAGGGATGAGGAATTTCTAAGGCCCACACCCCAAACCCCAAGCCCCAAACCCCACACCCCACACCCCACACCCCACACCCCAACCCCAAAACCCAAAACCCAAACCCCAATCCCCAAAACCCAAGCCCTAACCCTAACCCTGCAAACCCCAAACCCCAAACCCTAAACCCTAAACCCTGAACCCCAAACCCCAAACTCTAAACCCTTATCCATGTGGATTTTATGGCTTTCTAGCTCCCTCAGGGAATGGAAGCTGAAGCAGTGATGGGGTGTAGGGCTCTGAAGTGTTGGGAGAAGGGTTCAGGATTTGTTTGAAGGGTGGTGGGTCGTTGGGCAGAGTTTAGGGTTTACAGTTAGGGTTTAGGGTTTAGGCTTTAGGGTTTAGGGTCTAGGGTTTAGGGTCTAGGGTCTATCGTCTAGGGTCTAATGTTTAGGGGGTTGAGGGACTGGTTCGGCAAGCCGCATCCTTGAACCCTGAATCTCCAAAATCCCTCACCCTAAACCCTAAACCCTAAACCCTAAACCCTAAACCCAAAACCCTCAAGAATCGGAACAAGGGCCTACTCTGCGTCCCAGTCTGGATTCAGCCAAGCACGAAGGTGAGGTCCACTGTCTTCACGGGCATCACAGGCCGTCACATGGCAGGGGTTTAGGGTTTCGGGTTTTGGGTTTAGAGTTTAGGGTTTAGGGTTTAGGGTTTAGTTAAAGGCCCTCAGGTACAAGCGTATGTATCAGGTCAGAATGGAGGGGTTTGGGGTTTGGGGTTAGGGTTCAGGGTTTAGGGTTTAGGGTTTAGGGTTTGGGGTTTGGGGTTTGCGGTTTGGGGTTTGGGGTTTAGGGTTTAGGGTTTAGGGTTTACGGAAACAAGGGACCCCTGATATAGTCCCGGATTCCCGGATTCCCTAATCATAAGGACCCCAATACAGTAAGGTACCCCTAGTGGGAGGCCCTAGAACCCAACACTTACCTGTTTTCTCAGCCGCTCCATCCCAAAGCCCTAGACCTTCACCTCTTAGCCAGGTTAAGGACCAGGTCTGTACCTTAAGAAACCCAAATCTTAGGGGTCTATACTAGGGTTTGGGAGGGTTTTGAGGCCATTGAGGGTCAGGGGTTATGACCAGAACCCTTGAAGCAATTGGTAGGGCGCCGACCAAAGACAACACTTTTGGGCAAAGCTGGCATTGTCGGGTAGGTGCGTGTTTAGGGTTGTGGGGTTTGGGGTTTAGGACTTCCAGCATCATGCAGGATGCAGAAAACAAAGCCTTAAACACCCCAACACATTCCAAACTCTTAGACCGGAAACCCAGGATTTCGGGTTGGGGTCCCTCAAATTTTAAACGCCCTAACATGCCCTGACTTGGTAGCCTTGTGGTACCCTTGATCTTTTTAAGGTTCTGGGTTCCCTTCTAACGTAACCAACCCCCAAAAAGGGTACCCTTATGATTAAAAATGATTACTGGGCTACCGGACCCTAAACCCTAAACCCTAAACCCTAAACCCTAAACCCTAAACCCTAAACCCTAGGTTAGTGTAGCCCCCAAAGCCCTGGGGGGAGGCGACGTGAGCTTCAACTCGAATGGTGATCGCCTCGCAGCGTACCAGCTGATCAACATACAACCCGATCCAGGTAGCGATGTGACAAGGGTCGTTTAGGGTTTAGGGTTTAGGGTTTAGGGTTGAGGGTTTAGGGTTTAGGGTTTAGGGTTTCAGGTGTAGGGTTTCAGGTTTAGGAAAGGTGTATGTGACGGCTTGCACCTTCGCGGACCATAGGAGCTTGGTTACTTCTGAGCGTCGACCCTTGACCCCTACAAGGAGGGGCCCATAACCTAATTTAGGATCCTTATAACCCAATTTAGGGTTCTTATAACTCTACTTATAACTAGGGGGGGCCCCTCCTTGTATGCTATGAACCTCACAACCTCTTTCTCCTCTAGACATGAGAGCATGTATAGGGCTTAGGGTTTAGGGGCTGTTGCAAGTAAACCCTGAGCCTTAAGTCATTCGTGTAGCTTGTACCACTTGCCAGTGCAAGGCCAGAGCAG